GGGGGAGGCGGGGGGGGGTTGGGGAGCGAGGGGGGTGGGGGGAGCGAGGGGAGGGCCGCACCTCGCACTTGTGGATGACGGAGCCGTAGGCCTTGGACTCGGTGCGGTCGCCGTAGGTGCCCGAGCGCGGGCCCCGGGCCTCGGTGCCCAGCTCCTGGCCCGAGTCCGTGCTGGCAGACTCCTCGCTCTCCTCGGGGGGCTCCCCCTTCTCCAGCGGCGGCCCCTCTTCCTTGACCTCGGCGGCCCCTGCGCCTTCATCCTCCTGCTCTTCTCCTTTCCTGGCTGGCTCCACCTCCATCTCTGCCGGAGAAGGGTGGGCACTGAGGCGCTCGGGAGGGCTGGAAGGGGCCTCAGAGCCAGCGAAGGACGAGGGCTCATCTCCGCAGCCCTCCCTGTGCGCGCGAGTCCCCTGCAGGGGCCAGCTCGGCGTGGCCACCACAGACGAGCAGCCCTGGTGCCGGCCGGGGAGAGGGCAGAGGACGCTGCGGAGCAGGCCGCTCGCTGCTGGGAGGTGGGACTGGGCCTCCACCCCCGGGGAAGCCGGACTGGCGGCACAGTGGGTGCGGGGGGGCAGCCGGGACGCAGCAGCCACACTGAGGCCGCGTCAGCAACACGTCCGCGCCGAGAGAAGCCCAGCCGGGGTGCACAACCGAGACAGCGGTCAGGAGTTGACAACGGCAAGACGGCCTCGGCCGAAGCTAAAGCCGGAGTCGGAGCAGGATCAGCTTGGGGGCTGGGGGGTGGGGGAAGGAGCCCTGGGGGACGCGTGAGCGACGGCCGCCCGGCCGGGCTGGTGGCAGGGCACCTTGCTCCGAGCTCTCCGACAAGGCGGCCTCGGCCTCCGCAGCAGCCATGCTGCTCGTGGGGTCGGGCTTGGGCTCCACGGAGGGCGGCTCCCGGGGGGCGTCGGCCTTCTCTGTCTGCTCGGCACCTGGGTGGGGTGTGGGAACACCGAGGCTGCGTGAGGACCCTCCCTCCGGCAGCCGGATGGCTCCCCTGGACCAGGCCCCCGGGGAGTGGCTGTGGCCCGGCGCGGGGCGGGGGGTGCCGCACGTCCAAACTCAGGCTACTTGTGCCCGCGCTCTCGCTGCAGCAGGTGCCTTGGAGTGAACGGCTCTCCCAGCCCCAGGAGGCACCCCTCCAGGAGGCCGCTCACTGCCCCAGGGCCCAGGCTGCCAGAAGGTGACAGACTCGGCGTCACAACTCACCGCTGGCCGTGCTCTCAGCCTGGCCGCCCCGCTCCTCCTTGGGCTCCCTGTCTGGGCCCGTGGGTGGACCGCTTCCGGCCGGGTCCAGCTCGCTCAGCACGGCAGCAGCCGCCTTTTCCTCTTTGGCTGTCTTGTCTCCTCCTGGAGATGGAACGGGACAGTCTTGCCATTTCCCACCACGCGCCCACCGCCTGGAGGGGTGAGGTGGCCCAGAACTTGCTGGCTCTTCCAGATCGTCCCTGGGGAGACATCTACATATTGGCTGACCAGACTGCTCATCAGGCACCCACTCCATGCCAGGCCACCGGCTGAGCACAGAATAAACAGTCCCGGCTGCTGCTTCCGCGGGGGCTCCCGCCCTGGTCAGGGAGCAGACCTCACACGCAAAGCAATACCGCCCATCAGAGCTCCGTGCTCAGGAGGGAGACGGGCTCTCCGCGAGGGGTACCACGAGAGCCTGGCCCACCCCTGGCGTCAGGGGGAAGGGCACGAGCAGGGAGAGCTGCTGGAGGAACGACCCCACGCGCAGGGGCCTGGGCCGAGCGCACCCCCAGCCCTCTGGAGCAGCAGAGCACACGGGAAGTGGGTAAAGGCGGGGGAGGGGTAGGCAGACGACAAGCCCCTCGGGAGGCCTTCCTGAGACTAGCACCCTGTGACACAGGCAGGGCCGGGCGAGGACGCTGAGGCCCAGAGAGTCAGTGACAGCACCCCAGCCAAAGCCACGTGTTCAGGAACAGCCCGGCCATAACCTCACCTTCCGTGGCTGAGGCCACCGTAGTCTCCCCGGGGCTGCCAGTGGGCTCGGCGAGGGACTTGAGGGCGTGGCAGGCCGTGACGATGTCCTGCATCTGCAGGAAGCTGGCCACAGCCAGCACATCGTCCACGTTCTCAGGGCTCAGGCTCAGCTTGGCCGTGTACATAAACTCCAGCACCTGCCCGAGGCCTGCCAAGGACACAGACAGCCATCACGGACCTCGCGGGGCCTGGCTTTTCCAGCCGGCTCTGCCACTCCACTCGGTCGCAGGATCCAGGGGTTTGGGAAAAGTGGAGTGGCGGGCCGCCGTCCCCCCATCTCCTGTGCTGGCAGGTAGGCGGACAGCCTGGGGGTTCTCGGCCCAGACGGCGGCCTCCGAGATGAAGCACACCCGCACAGGGCAGGGGGTACGATGGCCACCCTGCACGGGGGACAGCGGGGGTGAACGCCCACCCTGCACCAAGGACAGAGGGTGAAAACAGAGAACCGAGAGGAAAAACACCTGCCCTGCAAGGAGGACCAGGGTGTAAACCTCTACCCTGCACAGAGGACGGCAGTGGGAACACCCACCCCCCCCCCCCCCCCACGGTAAGCTCTGGCCAGCTGCTGCACCCTACCACTGGAGGGCGCCCCAACACGAGGGTGTCGGCACTGGCTTTCCTCAGGGCTCTGCCACGACCTCTTTGGGTCACCTGACCTCCAGGCCAGTCACCTGACCTCTTTGGGTCTCAGCTTCCGTATCGG